TACATACATACGAATATATATATATATGTATTTATTTATTTATAGTGTGTATATATATATACATATATATACATACATATATATATATATGTAGGAGCGCATGTATGTGCATGTGACTATGCGCAGATTTGTATTTGCTGAAGCAACTTCCACATTTATTTGCTGAGAAACATCTCATCGACAACTCTACCTAGGCATTGTCAGATGGGTCCGAGTCTGAGACCTTGAACCTACCAGACTCTCTAGCCGAGACCTCCGACGTAAACTCCCTACAGCACACCCCCAGGTTCCTTACCAAACCCTAGAGCTCCATGAGTTTCCAACCGTCCTAAACTCCCTAAATTCCCGAAGCCATAAACTCGTCAGGCACTCTCACACACACACACAAACGCACCAGAAGACAAAAAACAAAATAAAGCAAACCTGACTTGCCCAAGGCGCGGAAGGCAAGCCTTTGAAGAGGACCTGTTGAGTGCAGATTAGGGTGCCGTTTAGGGTTTACGGGGTTAGGGTTCATTTTTAAGATGAGCGGTCTTGAACTGTCTTACTGCTCCGACTATAGGGGTGCTAGAGACCAACTCCATAAAATCCCCTGAGGACTCAACCACCGAAGCCCCCCCCCCAGCCCTGAAGCCCCCCCAAAAAAAATAAAAATCAGGAGAAACTGTCGGTGTGGCAGCAGTTTGTCGCAGAGAAGCAGCGAGAGGCAGTTTCAGCGATCCCAAACCGCCAGGAAATAAAAGGGGTCAGGGTTGAAAGGCTTTTTGTTTCAGGGGTTTAGCCTTCATGGGTTTAATTTAAGGACTCGAAGAGGATAGTAGTAGTACCTATAGGAGGTTTCGCAACTGCAAGGAGATACCACTGCAGCACTATGATTCATTGTTCAGAATCCAATGAATTGATGGGGTGTTGACGTTGCCGAGGATTCAGTCAGACCCCTTATGCCTTTACAGCACTTGACATACTGAATCGGACCTTGAAAACCCAGGCAGAACTCCAAAAGAGCCTGCATTGACCCCTACCCAAGCCCTTCTAACACCCTCTTCGCCGCCTTTCTTCCTAAATGCAGCTCTGCCACAGGTTGAGAAGATTAGGGAAGATCGTCGTCATGCCGAGGATGAGATGGCTACACAGCTGAGGCCCTGGAAGAGAGTTCTAGGATTTTAGATGCGTACAATGAGGGTTTTCCGGGCTTGTTTGGCTTGGGGTTCCAGCCTATGGAAAAGCCTACAGCCCAAACCCAAACATTGAGGTTCTAGCCTAGGGAAAATCCTAACCAAACCGAAACATGAAGGTGAAACTGCCCCTTCCGAGTCGATGGACGCAGGCAGGTCCAGGCCGACATCGAGGAATCGCGGCAGCGCATCGGCGAGGAGCGCATGCGAGTATCCCGGAGGCATGTGGCGGGGTTCTCACAACCATGAACCCTTTTTTTCCCTTAAGGAACCCCTTTTTGGGGGGCCTCTTCTTTAGGGAACCCCTTTTTGGGGGCCTTCTTTAGGGAACCCCTGTTTGGGGTCTCTTCTTTGGCGAACCCCTTTTCGGGGGGCTTCTTCTTTAGGGATCCCTTTTCGGGGCCTGAACCTGGGAGCTTAGAGCTGTTCCAGGGCTCATGGGGCCTAAATGGAATTCGTAGTAAATGTCTAATTATAGGCTTTCTAAGAGTGTACGTAGGTTTTGACATGGGCCTTCAAGAATTGAAGGGGCCATCGGAAAAGCTCATCCCACGCAAGCAAAGGACAAGCACAACCTCTTGTTGACACGGTCCTCCGCCATCGCAGGGACTGTGAGCGCGGAATTTCGGCAATACGACAGTCAGTAAGGGCCCTGCAACAGCCCGAAAAACAGAAGCCCTACACCCCCCCGCCCCAACAGCAAAAAGAAGAGAAGCTGAGGTCGAGCAGGAGGGTGCCCAGAGAAGACGGGGAGTTGCACACGAGTACGAGAAGTTTCGCCGCTCTTCTCATGTCGTGGTCACCCCAGGTGATCCCCTGGGTTCCTTCGGCATCGCTTACCGGCTCCCAAACCCTACTGGACCCTATGAATTCTTTAGGGCTTGGAGGGTTGAAGAAACGTTCGGGATGAAAGAAAAATAGCAGGTGCTTTCAGAGCCACGACTTCCATGAAAATATTTTTCGGGTCGGATTTTTTTAGTAGAGCCCTAAACCCTAAGCAGCAATCTACGTACAAAGCTCCAAGCAGCCGGACCCATAGCTTCGACGCTTGAAGCTGAGATCCATCGCACGACAGTGCGAAGCCACAATGGCTCACCTAGTTCAGGGTGCTATCGTTGGCGTCCCTAGACTCTAAAGACTCTAGGACTCTCGTCTGTTCAGCCCTAACGCACAGGCTTTAGGGTTGTGTTGCGGACGTGGATAAGGCTCTAGAAGAGCTGATAGACATGAGTCAGAAATGGCCGCATAGTGCCTCTTGCGGCTTCAGCCCGAGAATCCTTTGTCCACCTCAGAGTGACCCAAGATCTCTTTCTGTCTTTTGCCAGCGCCTATCCGAAATCGCAATTTTGCAACTTAAGGGTCATGGATAGTAGTAGTATCCCTGAAATTCTCTAAACAGGTTCCGAAAGCAATTGTCAGGAGTTACCAATTTGCAATGCAAAGAAGAACCCTGTTCTCATTATTAAGGCCCCTATGGTCAGGAGTAATGATATCAGAGGTTAATACCAGACACCATACTTGAAGAAGCAAAGTCCGTAGCCTTAACATTTGTAATAGTACCCCTATGCTACCGCTTTGGAAGCCAAGGAAGAAACCACATGCAGATCTACCACCCAACCCCTGTTCTGATTATGAAGGCCCTTACACATTGCGGTTTCGAAAGCCGAGGGCAGGAGTAGTAATGCCATAATGATTTCCATAATGTACCCAAGGCCCTATTCCAGTAGCTAAGGCGCCTAGCTATAATGCCAAATTCACGAAAACTTTCTCTGCAACCTTACAGAAACCCGTCAAGAAAGCCGAGGTCTGGAGCATTAACACCATCACAGAATTATCCTAAAGCGAAGCCCCCACTCCAAACCAAGGTCAGGAGTATGGACTCTTCGAAGCAGAACGGCAACGCTTGGCGAACCCGCAGCTTGCGGCTGAGACGACTGTCGATCTGAACGTGGGAGGCCTTTTGGGGGAGCCTAGGGCATGCGGGTTTCAAGGCTTACGGTGGTTTTGCTGTCCTACGGAGGTCTCGTTAGAGGTAGAATATATACCTATCGTTACACTTATCCGATCTGTAATAACACAAATCCAAGAGGATATTCAAACCACTATTCCAACAGGATATTCAAAGCGCTATTCTTGTTATTGGGCTTGTGGCCTAAAGGGTTCTCAAGGGGGCCGTAGCTAGGGGTGTTGGAAGCGATTCCAGGGTTGAGGCTGAGGCAGGCTTTGCCAGTTAGGCCTTAGGGTTACGCGGCTCCTATAAGAAGGAGGCAACCAAAAGCCGGGAACCACGTTCAGGGTCAAACAAGCACCTATGCAGTGGGGCTTGCCTTTTCGGGCTGTGATTATGCCACATGACTACAGTGACTGCATATTTTGCCCGTCGAGATCCATCTCGCAATTTCATGGTTTTCGGGATTGGACTAGACTCGACCATCAACAGCCAAGCCCTAATCTCTTACAGGACCCATATGAGCCGTTGGAGAACCCCAAACTCTCATTGAACCCTAAGCCTTATAGAAGTAGAGGCGAAACCCTTCTAAAAGCCTTTTAGAGTCCTTAGCCTTAGATGGAATGGCACCCTAAACCCTAAGCCCTAAACCCTAACCCCTGAACCCTTACTAGTTACTACTGGCTTTCCGGGCGGTTCGATTGCAGTAGCAATGGGAGGCTCCAAAGGCAGAGAATGTATTGGAGTGTGAGGTACGCAGCATTCGCATTTCGGGCCATTCCCAGGGTGTTCAGCGTGGTTGAGGATTTGGGTTTAGGGTTTAGGGTTTAGGGTTTAGTAGGCTGAAAGCTCATATTCAAGCTTTTGGCTGCCAGGTACAATCTTTGAGACCACGCGATCCACTCTGGTCCAGCAGCTTTGCACGCATTGTCCGTGTATGTGGGTTTGGGTTCTACAGTCTGAACCCGCCAGTTTACGAGTTTTGGGATGTATTTCTGGAGCTTGTGCGGTCCAGGAGGTTGGGGTTTGCCGCCGTCCAATCTTAAGCCCTTATGAGCCCCAACCCTCAACCCCTGAGCAAACCCGAAAACCGAGAACCATTCCGGGGCTGTTCCGAAGAGCTGAGGCAGTCGGGCAGTTTCTTGGAAACCCTCCTCTCCGGACGGTATCAGATCAGCCGTGATCGCTTCTCGGATGCCTCAGCTTCGTGCTAGCTTGTGTGAAAGTGGTAAAGGGTTTAGGGTTTAGGGTGAAGGTACCAGAAGGATCATAAGGGAAATGCATTCAGCTCAACCACAAGATCTTGATGCAGGCTTTGCGCTCGATGCAATATGCCTTAAATCCTGCAGCCTTAACCAAAGGCAAGATGATGTTGCACGTGTGTGCATGTGTATATATATATATATGTGTGTGTGTGTATGTATATACATGTATCTCTATATATCTATATATATATATA